AAGGATGGACCTTGTGACTTATGTTGATTTAGTCCTTCTAACCTCATGATCAAATCTGTTCTTGTCAGGGATGGGATTATCTCTTAAAGTGGTCCAATGTAAAGTAAATCTAGAATTTATGCTAACACTGAATGAAAGAGATGCAAATTTTTTCAGGAGTTGAGCATAGAGATTATGGGTCTAAAGTTGCTGACAGCTATACTGACACTACATGAAATCACTATGCAAGAGAGCAGACTGAAGAGAGAGACAGAGAGTTTTGATGATGAAATTCAGGCCCTTGATCAAACGGCTCCTGAATAAGATGCTCCTCTGGAATTTTGAGTCATGTGAGCCAATGAACTCCCTACTTATCTTAAGCCAAACACCCTTTTTATCATAAGACAGATTTCATATCTACTGATTCTAGACAAGTCCTTAGTAAACAAATTCCAGACTCAGGAACAATGTTGAATAAACAAAAATTAGAGCCAGGCACTTTTCAAAACACCTTTTGCACATTCATATTCATAACAACTTCTGAAATAACTGTTACTATAATTCCACTTATAAATGAAGTTAAATGGTATCTCAATCTATAAGAAAATGCCACTTTCTGAGCCCCCCTGGTGGCACAAGGGGTTAAGTCTCAGCACTATGAAGCTATCAGCAGCCACTGCAGCATAAGTTCAGTCCCCAGCCATGGAGCTACCCTATATAACCTTTCCTGTCTGGCCTGCTGTTCCCCTCAGCAGTGTACTTCCATCAGTCCACCTAGTCTGCTCCCCACTCTGTCTTTGGTGAATCCTCTCATCTCCACCACCCCCTGCACCTCTGGCCTGCACCCCAGCTCTTTTTTATTTATAAATAAAATAAATCTTAAAAAAATAAAAAGAAAATGCCACTTTTTGCTATCAGAAATCTCCTGGGTGGCTTTTGAAGAACAAAATTCTGTTTCTCACATTTTTAGAGGCTGGAAATCTGAGATCAGGGTGTCTACATGATGAAGTGAAGTAGTCTTCTAGGTTGTAGGCTCCTTGCTTTATCTTCACATGGGGGGTTAAGCTCCTTGGCACTAATCCCATTCATTAGGCCTCCGCCCTTATCACATAATCACCTTCCAAAGGTCCTTATCTCCTAACCCACTATATCAGGCATTTAGATTTCAACATATTAATTTTAAGGGGACACAAACATAGAGATCATAGCAAATGGTTACATATCAAGTTTATACAGATGGTAAATAGGTGCACCTATTCTGAAAATACAAAAAAAAAAAAAAAACCTAAAAAATAAATACTTAATGGTAAAACAGGTGGAACAAAAAGTCATAGCATTGCCTTAAAAGGCAAAAAAAAAAAAAAAAAAAAAAACAAAAACCAGATTCTTCCTTAGACTCTCCACAAGGAACACAGACTTACCAACCAATTTTAGACTCAAATCCAGGTAGTAAGTTTATATTTCAAGTCATTAAGTCCATAGTCATTTGTTACAGCAACAGAAGGAACTACAAGGGATCTGTATTTTCTTATTATGACAATTTATAAAAGCATAAATATATATAGAAATTCTGAGTGAGGCAGGAAATTCACCATTGTTTAGGATTCATAGGAGAAAAGATCCATTGTCTAGTATCCATCCAACAATATCTGGTTCATTTTCTGCTAGGATAACATTTCACAGTCAACATTCAAAAATCTATTTCTGTAGAAATAGGCACAGAAAATGACGTAGAAATGACATAGAAAATTTCAAGTCATAAAATATAGGTTTTTAAACATGCTCTTAAATAGGTTCCAAAACATCACATTCTCAAAAATAAATTCAGTAAGATATGTATAAAATTTTGCATGAGATTCTAAAACAATTGTAAATGAAATTAAAGACTTTGATAAACAGATAAGTCCTAACTATAAATTAGAATACTAATTTTATGATGCCTTTAGTTATCTCCAAATTGATCTAATGCAATCCAAATAACATTACCAAGGAAACTTATAAGAGGATTTTGCAATTTAGAAAACCTAAATAAGGGACCAGGAAAAAGACTAATTATAATAAAGTAAAAATCAAAATCAACAAGCAACTATAAACCAGAGACACACTACAGGGGTGGAGGAAAGAGTAGGATCAAAACAAGGGGGGTGGGAATTGCCTGGGGCCTATAACCAAGATGAAAATGCATACATTGTGCAAAAATGAAAAATGATGTAAAAAAATATATAAAATTTTTTAAAAAATTAAAAATAGAAATTATTGTACAGAAATAAATAAATAAAATTTATGTGGAAATGTGAAAGTCCAAGGTAAGCAAGACAAGATCAGAGTAGAAGGAAAAGTTGATGGACTACTCTTCTGAAAATTAAGACTTACAGAAAGAACAATAGAATAGTCACCTAAGCTGAGACCCATACATAAACAGACTTGTGATTTAAGACAATGGTGACTTTACAGGCACAATAGACAATAGGTACTAAAAAGACAATAGGTACTAAAAGGAGTTCAGCAAGCTAGCAGCACAGTGAAGATGCTGGGCTTGCCTCCTCCACACATTCACAACTAAATTGCAGCAAAGCAATGTCAAGAACCACTGAAAGGTGCAATGGTCCAGCAGAACTGGGTAGAAAAAACTGTAATTTAACTGTGTTAGTGATACCAAGACAGCACAAACCATGATGGGTGAGAGTGAAGCTGCTCTTCAGAGCCCTTCTGCTATTGTTGACTTGGGGGTATGCACCCCTATCAGGGACTTTGAAGACCCAGCATTTCGCTGGGGGAGAGGGCAGACAGAGCTGACATGCAGGACAGAGGGTGCACTACTGGAGAACTAAAGGAATAGGAGTACAGAATGATTATTACTGCCTTGAGCTGGAGACTCATAATCAAGAAAGTTGTAGCCTGAACCAGTGAGATCACCTATGTCTCCTCATAGAAGACATTAGAATTTTCAACCTGAGGGTATGATAGTCAAAACACCTGCCTTCTTCCCACCCACAGCCAAAATGGAGACAAGCCTGTGCTACATCTAATGTTCACTACAGACTGAAAGTTTAGACTGACACAGATTACATGAGACATTTTGCTAAGAAATTGACCTAATGGAGGGAATCAATGTAGATTCCAACAATACAACACAGGTACACGCGTTACTATCACAAGCTTGAAACCTTGATGCTCTGGTGTGTGAAAGGATTCAGGTGCCTATGCTATCCCCCTCTCCATCCCCACTTCCCTCTGGTAAACAGTAAATTCTTTTGAAAGTGAACAAAATTTAAGAGGAGTTAATACAACAAGCAATGCATTCCTGTATTTTCATGTCTAGAAACTTTAAAACATATACATGAATTAGTGGTTTCTTTAAAGTTTATGAATCACATGAACAGTTATTATAATTGAAGTGGTAATGTTAGTTCTTACAGTAACCATAATTGATCAAAAATATATTGTTTTCTTCTCTGCTGAATAAGAAATAATCCACAAAAAAAAAAACCACTAATCAGTCAAAAGCTAACAGAATTAGAGAAATTCAAGATTTTTTTCTCATTTTTTTCATTCTCATAGTCTCTCTAAAATTCAAATCTATTGTGGCAAGAGCTACAGAACACAGAAATAATAATCTTGACTGCAAAATACAATGCATGAGCTGTTTCTTAAGCTTCCTACTGTAAAAATCAAATTCTGACTACGAATTTATCTAAGCTTTTTAAGAAATATGTGTTTCTCCCATTTCAGGCAAAAAATATAATTTGTGCCTTCTTCCATGTTTCTTCTTACATAGATGGCTTAGATCCAAAACCGTTTTATTGTTTCACAGTAAGTACAATTTCCAAATGCTAGGCAATCTGATAAATACAATATGAAAGGTCAGTCAGCACTGATGCAGGAGAAAAAGAAAGTAAGGTGGTGGAGAAAGAATCTGTCCTTTTACCTGGAAACACTAGATACTGTGGATTCTAGGAGCCAAGTACAGCAACTTACAATTTGAAAATTTTTTGCATCAATTGAATTGACAATGTAGAAAACAAATTTCCTTTGGTTCAGTTTTCAGTTGTTACTACCATCTATCTTTTAACTCTTCTATTCCTAAGTAATGAGATACATAGATGAATGTACATGAATATATGAATCTGAGCACTATCCTGTAAAATAACACTTTTTTTAACATTTATTTTTATACAAGAACTGGGGAGCAGTCCAGATACGCAGGAGGGTGAGAGGATTCACCAGAGATAGAGCAGGGAACAGAACAGGCAGACTGACTGAAATACACTGCCGAGGGGAGCGCGGGCAAGACAGGAGAGGTCTGCTGCGCCATGTGGGATTTTAGCCGGCCCGCCAGGATCGAACCCGCGCTGCAGAGGCTGCGGGCAGCCCCACAGTGCAGTGCTCAACTGCCTATGCCACTAGGGAGGCCCCCTGTTAAATAACACTTTTAACAGTGGGTGGTTACCTTCTATATGAAATGAGTAAAGGGGCGAGTAGTAATTATTAATACAATTTATCTCCTCCATGTCTGCAAATTCAGTCCTCTAGGTGGAGTCCTGAAGCACAGATGGAGTCCTCTTTTCACCCAAAGGTAAGGCTGTGGGTACCTGATAAAATAAACCTGCGGTACCACTTGACAAGTTAACTTCTGGGAAAGTTCTTTTAGATTCAGGTTTCCTCAGTGCAACTGACATTCTCCAATTCCATTCTGGTTTTTCTATCTTCTTCCCAATTCTTACTTAATTCTCCATTTGAAGTAATGGCCTACTGGGCTATCTACCTGGACTGGGATTCACTCCTGACTGCTAGATGCAGCCTCTTGGACCACTGACCTTGACTTCAGGAGCCTTGTTGCTGCTCCAAATCTAGCTCCTGTAACTCTGCCCTCAAATACAATCTCACAGGGAATTTTTATATTTCTTGGGAGAAAGTACAGTGTACAAAGAGATAGTGGCAGTTTGATTCTCCAAGTTAAAAGCAACATAGATTTAATAATAATGAAGAGAAGAGGAAGGTGTTTTACAAATATCCTTTACCTTTTCCATTAGGGGTTGAACCAGTCAACAGTCCCACCAACAGTGTACAGGTTTCCTTTTTCTTCACATCTTGTCAACACTTGTTGTTTCTGGTCTTTTTGATAGGAACTATTCCCACAAGCGTGAGATGATATCCCAATGTGATTTGGATTTTTGTTTCCCTGATGGAAAAAAATGAAAATGTCTTCTTTGTAGAAATGGGTGTTTAGTGTTTAGCTCTTCTAATAATTTTTTGACTGGGTATCATGGGTTTTGTTCTTGTTGAGTTATATGAATAATTTGGGTATTAGCCCTTTATCAAATATGTGATGTGCAAATATTTTCTCTGATTCAGTAGGGTGTCTTTCAGTTCTAATTATAGTCTCTTTCATTGTGTGAAGCTTTATAGTTTGTTATAATACCACTTGCTTATTTTTGCTTTTGCTTCCCTTGCTGTTTGAGCTGAGTTCCCAAAGATATCTATGACGCCATCATGGTGTGTTTTTTGCCTGTTTTCTTTTTATGTATTTTATGGTATGGGGTCTTACATCTAAGTCTTTAATTCCTTCTGAGTTAATTTTTGTATATGATGTAAGAGACTGGTCTAGTTTCATTCTTTGCTATGTGGCTGTTCAGTTTTCTCAGCATCATTTGTTGAAGAGACTTTCCTTTCTCTTGGCTACTTGTTATAGACTAAATGCCCATATAAATATCAGTCTCAATCCATTTTTATAAATGAAGAACTATATTTATAAATGTTGCTTAGTAGTCCCTGAAGAAACTTCTCCATTCTATGTTGTATGCCTTGTTTCAAAGTGTCTATAACCATAGCAATCAAAATGTCAATCCCAATGAAAATTTAAAGTGAAAATTAAAGCAAAAGACCTAATAAAAATGTACTGATTGTATTGACTCTGACCAGCAATGTTTCTTATATCTACTTTATAACATCAGTGTAGTAACATAAAATTGAAAGGCACATGGCCTGGCTCCAACCCAGGCTCAAAAACACTCTAGCGACATGATCATGAGAAATTTTCTCCTTACCTCATCTTCCTCATTTGAAAAAACATAAACAATATTAGTATCTATTTCATGAAGTCACTGTCAATATTAAATTACTAATTACACATAAATTGATATGAACAAATCTTAGTATATAGAAAGCCCTTGATAATTTAAGAAAAAACTAATATTATTTACATTACAGTATTAGATTGGGTATTAAATGTTGAGAAACTACCAGTGATAGGTCCAAGTTAAAAGAAATCAGACTATAGACTACTATTTATTTTCATAGATATCAAAATGTCCTGCTAGTTTGTTAGAAACATGTATCTTTACATACAAAAGTACTGAATAATTTAAGTATAGCATATAGATACACATACACACACAGGATTCCAAGGCTGCAAGGTTGAGCATAAAATTTTTAAAGAACACCTTTCGAGGTTTATTTTCATTTTTAGTTGCTTATTTTGGTCTAGAAAGTACAGATCTCTCAAAAGAATTTCTTGCCCAAATAAGTATGCCCCAAGACACATGAATGATAAATGTATTATATACCATGGAAGGTTTCCTTTTCAAAAACTAGTTATCAACTACTTAAATAAATTCCCACAAGGAAGAAGAAACACCATGCAAATGATCAAGTTCTGTGTTTCTCATTTCTTCCTTTTAATTGTTCTGTGTTTGTATCTGGCTTTTCCACAGGAAAGTTTGATGCATGGACTCTGCTTCAAAGTTGAGATAATGGAATTTCTTCTTGCAGACTTACACTACACAGCATAATTTTCTGGGGGAAAAAAGTGCCAAAATGCTTTGTAGCAATATATATATTTTGCACTATTATATATATATATATATATATATATATATATATATATATATATATATATAAATGGAAGGAGGGTGGTAAAAAGAAAACATTCTTCAAAGGAAATAACAGTGGCCAAACCCTGTTTTTTCAGTAGTGAAACAGGGTGAAACCCTCTGTCACATAAATTTGACTTTATTTCAAAACCATATGTCACCAATTATAATTTTTCAGGGTCTAAAGGTGAATAGGGAAACAAAAAGTGAATTCATTAAGCAGGAATATTTTAAACTCTTGTCAAAAATTTCTTGTGTTACAATTTGAAAAATCTCACTCTCAGCCTCCAAAACAATGCAGTTTATCTGCCATACTTTCAGATATTAAGCCAATTTTGTGCTTTTCTCCCCATCTCCTTAAGAATATAATTCCATATCTTTAGTTTGAAACATACATTCTTAACTTATACTTTCATGTTTACTTATCCAGATGAAAACTCACCTTGGCCAAAAATAACAGGTTTTGTCACTAAGTTCATATTTAACAAGATTACACATTTTTGATAACTTTGAACTGAATTTTTAGTTCTTGTCTACCACAGCCAAAGGAAAAACTTGTTTCCTGCATCAACACTTAGACTATGTCTCCCCATGTATTATCAAGGGGTTGAAATCTAGTCTATATACTCAGATGTGCAGAAATATGAATTTCTGTATTTTAAATTACTTACCTCATCTTGGCTCTCAAGTTGTCTTTCCAACTTTGTCAACTATTTCCTGGTGGTTTTATTTGAAAATGATCAATTTAAATTAATAATTCATTTCCAGATTTGTGCTTTTCCTTCAATTCCTTCTTTCTAATGTGGCCTATTGATATAAGATAAGCTTAATTTTCAATTAGCAAAGAGCAGGAGGTGACTGCTGTTCATGATTTCTGTTGAGAGAGTGACTCATTCCATTTGAGGTCAGAGCACTGTCCTCTGCTCTTATTGTATCTGCTAGGAAACACCCTGGCTTACCTGGTTACTGCATACACAAAAGTAGTATCCACAGAGATATATCTGCACCTGGTCTATTAGAGACAGCTTCACAAACATTCCTGAGATTCCAGACCTAAAGTGCCTACACACACTATCATGTCCTCATCCCATTCACAGTTTTCTTATACCAATGATTCTCTCAGCACTTTCTTTTTCCATCCTTAACCACTTTTGCCTTAGTTAAGGTTCATTGTTTAAAGCAACAGAAGTACATTCTACCTGAATTAGGGGACTGCAGGGGACTGCAGACTTAGAGCTCTTCTTTAAGGAAAGTTTGCATGACTTGAAGAAACACTGAGGCTAAAGAACCAGACTTGAGACCAGGCTTTGAGGAACAGAATCCAAAACTATGCCAAAGGACTTTCACTTCTGATTAGAATACAGTAGGTAGCAGCAGACCAGCAGCAGCTCCCACTGCAGCAGCTTGAAAAAAATGATTTACCATAATTATATTCTTAAATACATTATGGAGCTATGAAAACAAAGTGGACTAGAAAGGATAAAATTTTAGATCTTCTTAGGTGAGCTGATGATCCTCCCATGTTTACTGACCCTGGGAGGAATTCACTGATTTTTAGAGTAGGTTAAAAATCGATTTTATATAGGTAGAGGCATCCTACTAAGAAAATAGAGTAAGTAAAGCCTTTGGAGTTCACATGGACTAGATAATATATTAGAAACCAGAGTACCTCTGAAATCATGACTTGTTTTCTCCCCAAGAAATACATATATCTATATTTGAATTCTAGAATAACAAAAGAGCCTAGTGTTCTAAGCTGGAAACAAAGGAAAACCCCACAGTCTATAGTAGTTAGAAAACAAAGTTCACTAGTATTATTTTTGCTGCATTCATCAGGTTCTGGTATTTCTTGTCTTTTCAATTGCCTTCAGATATTTTATAATTTCTCCTTTGACTTCCTCATTAACCCAGTAATCATTCAGTAGTGGGTTATTCGATCTCCATGTATTAGCAGTTTTTCTTTCTTTTTATGGCTGATTTCTAGTTCGATATTGTGATAAGAGAAAATACTTGATATGATTTCAGTCTTTATGAATTTATTGACATTTGTTTTGTGACCTACCCAACATATGGTCCGTCCTCAAGAATGTTCCGTGTGCACTTGGAAAGAATGTGCACTCAGCTTTTGGGGTGGGGGTGCAGCTAGTATAAATCTAGTATAAATCTTTCTTTAAGGTTATTACTTACTTGTTGTTTTCTGTCTGGTTGATTTGCCCATTGATGAAAGTGTGTTATTATCAATGCCTGTTTTTAGATTTATTGATAGTTGTTTAATATACTTCAATGCTTCTTCATTTAGTGCATATATCAATATATTGAGTGCTATGTCTTCTTATATCAGCACCTAAAATTATTATATAATGTCTATCCCTATCTGTCATTATCTTTTTTTTAGCTGACAGTCATTTTAGCTAATGGAAGTATGGTTCTATCTGCCTCTTGGGAGGGGGAGAGAGAGGGGTTCCCATGTGCTTTTCAGATTGTTTTCCAACTATTTACTTTGAGTCTATGCTTATCTCTGGGGTTCAGATGTATCTCCTAGAGGTAGCAGATAGTTAGGTTTTGTTTTCTGATCCATCTAGCCATTCTGTGATTTTGAGTTCAGTGCATTTGCATTTACGGTGATTATTAATATATATGAAAATGTGCTACATCACTTTGTTTTTATTTTTTTGGTTCCATCTATTCCCTCATTCAATTTTTGTGGATATTCTTGTCTTCGAATTACATAGGAGCATTCCTTTGTTTCTCCCTCATATCTAAATGAGAGGTTTGTGGGATACGGTATTGTTGTTTGGCAGTTTTTATCTTTGAGTATTTTGAATACTTCATTTCTTTCTGTCCTGTTTGCGAGGTTTCTTCTGAAAAATTGGATGTAAACCTGATGGGAGAATATTTATAGTTACCTGCCCTTTTCTACTAGCTTCCTCAATATTCTCTTGGTGTTCAATTTTTGGCTGTTTCATGACTATGTTTACTGGGGTAAACAGTTGTTTAGATAAACAGTTGTTCTTTTAGTTTCATGGATTTGTTCATGTAGTTCCTCCCCCAGGTTTGAGAAGTTTTCCTCTATTATTTATTTGAGTAAGTTTTCTGAGCCAGTGTCTCTCTCTTCCCCTTCTGAGAGATCCACTGTCCTTATGTTGTTTTCCCTAATGGAGTCATATAATTTTAAATTGCTTCTTCATTGTGTTTACATTTATTTCTATCATTTGCATATTACTATTTTGATCCTCTGTTTGGTCTATTCTATTTTCATAGCTTTCTTTAGAATTTTTAATCTCATCTATTGAACATCCTGAATCTCTATTAATTTCTTAAATAGAGACTTCTCAGTTCATTTGTTTTTCTAAATTTTATTGTATTTCTATGGTCAGAGGTTCTGAGTTCTCTTGTAGCACTCTAACTTGCTTTTCTGGGTTTCTGGGTTTTTTTTCCCATCCCTTTGATTTTCTTTATTATAGCATTTAGTAGATATCTTCCATTCATCAATCAGCATGATGTTCCTTATCCATTTCTAAGCTAATTTCCCTCATTCCGTGTTCTCTTAATATAACCCCAAGAAACAACACAGATTAAAATATAAAGAACATTTAATACTTGCTGAGTAAAAAGAAGAGAAAATGAACATTGCATAATTCAAGCTCAGATTGCTCGGATTTGTTCAGTGCATTTTTGACATTCAAGAAAAGTATGCAAGGGCATCTGCTTTTATGTTAATAATTTAACTGGAAAAAAGATAAGGTTTGAGCTATATCTTTCATCTGAAATACAATTATCCCTGTAAATGGCTAAAGGCAAATTTTATTCATAGCTTACAAGCACACCAGTACAGTATTTAGCTGCAGGGTAAGATTTCTATTGCATGTTTCTCATCTTGACTCAGTCCCTCATATTGGGTGTGTTTTCTCTTTCTGAAGGGGAAAAATGACAAAAGCAATGAGGTCTGTCTCCACGCCTTTTAGGAATTAATAAGTCCCGAGGGATTTCTGCTAGAAGTGAGGTCTCACACATGATTTGTGTTCCTGACAGGGGGCCTGCCTCTGTAAGTGAAGAAGTTAGTCCTTCCACATCATCAGTGCTATCACCAGGCATCTATTTTAACACTTTATATAAAAGACAAAACCAGAATCCATTACAAAAGTTTCTGCCATATTAAAAACTTTTTTAATCTAAAGCACCTATGATTTTGCTTATGAATCAGATCATATCTCCCCTCAATAGTTCATCTTTTCTTCCCTTTCTACTCTCATGTTGGTGTGGGACAGTGGAAGTAGGGAAGTAGAGGTGAATTATATCAACAAAATGGAAATATATCCTATGTAAGAAACATACATATCTCTGAATATTTATTTTCTTTTTTTAAAGATTTATTTATTTATGCATATAAGAGCTGGGGTATAGGCCAGAGATGCGGAGTGGGGGTGGGGGTAGGAGGAGTCACCACAGACAGAGTGGGGAACAGAACAGGCAGACTGACTGAAATACACTGCTGAGAGGAGCAGCGGGCGAGTCAAGAGAGGTCTGCTGCGCCGTGTGTGTTGCTCCCCGGCCAGCCGGGGATTGAACTCGTGCTGCAGAGGCTGTGGATTGCTTCATAGTGCAGTGCTTAACCCCTTGCACCACCAGGGAGGCCCTGAATATTTATTTTCTTTCATGCTTTTACAGGGTATAAATGTCTTGACTTATGTATTGAATTTTAATTTTATAACATTTTTCTGTGAGGTTTGACTTGTCACAGAAGAACAAGATTCCAAAATTTGTGGAATTCCAGTGCCCTCATTATAAAGGCAGATTAAATCTATCAATGTGTTTTAAGAAGACTGCAAAGTTCCCCAAACATCATGTCATCTTAGTAATGTTTACTTATATCCTTATAAAAATAAATAATACATTAATAAGGGAGTCATCTCTGTTCCACCTTTCCATCACTTAGTTGTGTGACCTTTTACTCCTAAAACCTAAGGTACCATGCCCTGGGCTTGGGAATAATGCAATAATGATTGCTTTTTTTTTTTTTTTAAGATTTATCTTTATTTATTTATTTATTTATTTATTTATTTATTTATTTATTTATTTATTTATTTATACAAGCACTGGGCACAGTCAGAAGCGCGGGAGGGTGAGAGAATTCACCAGAGCTGGGAACAGAGCAGGCAGAAGGACCAAAGTACACTGCTGAGGGGAGCAGCTGGCGGCAGGAGAGGTCTGTGCGCCATGTGGGACCCTCCTCTGGTGGCCGGGGGAGCAGCCAGGGATCTAATCTGCGCTGCAGAGGCTGCAGGCAGCTTTGCAACCCAGCGCTCAACTGCTGTGCCACCGGGGAGGCCCTAACGATTGCTTTTTTTTTTTTAACTTTTATGTTTATTTATTTTTTTAAATAATAAATTTTATTTTTATATTCCCCATACAATTGCAACCCCCTCATTCTGACCCCAATCCTAATGATTGCTTTTTAACATGACTTTCTGCTACTTGGGCCAAAATTAAGGACCAAGTGTACAGGTTGAAGAAAATTTGAAGTAAATACCATGGTAAAATATAGAAATGAATTAAAATTTTTGAATATCTATTTATAATGATAATGTATATGAAGATGGCACCTAGTAAAACCTTTTCTTTGGGAATAACATGTAAAGGAGAAGAAGAAAGGAGGAAAGAAAAAAAACAAAAGGAGAAGGATGTTAATACTCATTTTCATCACCATATTTGTCTTCCAATACCTTTAGAAATTAAGGGAGGAAGAATGATCTATTTGATTTTGTTTTATTGGTTTTTGTTTTAGTATTTACTGATAACTATTAGCAATTTCTGGAAGGAGAGTGAGTTTCTGAAGAAACTGAATCAGTGACTGCATTTAATAAATTAAGCCAAAAACTGAAAGTATTCGAGCAACCTAAAATAATAATAAACTGCTAGTTTTAAAGGACTCAGTTTCCAGATCATCATTATAATATGAATATT